GAGTTGAATATCAATAAAATCTATTACCCAAATCTTATTGACATACTTAAAATGTTTGTGATTCCAGGAATAAAACTATTATAAGTACCAAGTTTAATATTGAGGTTCTCTAAAACTATATGATTTTGTTCTAAACCTTGTTGTGTACGTTTTAAATTTTAACGATTGTAATTGTTAAAAAAATATTAGTTGAGTTATTATATTTTATRGAATATTGTTATAAAAATTATTTACATTTATTGCACTTGTTATTTTGTTCGTGTACTATTGAACACTTGTAGTGTTAAATTAAATAAATACCTAGTCGGCTAGTCAAGTAAATCTTAACAGTTTTTTTTTGATAACGCGTTAGTTAACAAAACCACAAATCGATCGTTTGCCCACGCCTTATATGGCCAAACAACTACTTTTAATCCAATGGATATTGAAAAGCGCTAGAGTTTGGGGAYATTGTCAAAACACTAACTTTGGACCAAGTGCCAGCGATCCAATGCGAGGCCCTGTCGGATTGGATGGAATCACAAGGCGGCCTTTGACAGGCTTTGGACAGGATGACGTTGGACGGTATTGGCGACGGACAAGCCGACTCGTCCACATTCATAGTCAGCATGGGATTGATTTGCTGTCTGCACGCCATCTCCCGGGTCTGGACTCCTAAACCGCAACTAACTGAGCAAGGGCTCCAATCGGTGATGGACCACCTTTAGGTGAATAAAAATAGTAAATTATTATTATTATTTACTATTGTAATATTATACTAAGTATTCGTAAGTAAATCCATCTCCAAGATCCTAACCATTATTATATTGCGTACTTACTGCGCCTCGCATGGTTTCACGTTGCATCTGAGCACCTGGGGTTGCGGTTTCTCCRACCCGTGGCACCGTTTGTCTGCGACAATTTGCTGCTGCTGGTTGTGTTCTTTGATGCACACCATCGTGGACGTCTGATATCCTGTGAAAAACGTGTAGGTCAGTACTGTGAGAAATGCGYAATATTCAGAGTTAATCGCGTTAATCGCGTATGTGATAGACACAAAATAATAGGCAAAAAAATTAACCATTATACATAAGCGATAAGGTATAGCCATCATGTATGTACGTTATGTTATGTACGAACGTTTTAATGAAGTTGAAATTCGTATGCACTATGCAACACAATATTATGTATTATATATTATATATATATTTTTTAATATATTCAATGTTCAATTTATCATAAAAGCTTTATGCTGGGTAGTTATATAAAACAAATAAATTTACTACAAACTTATTTCTACAAATGCGCAAACGAGTTCACTAATCATAGCAATACTGCAATAGTGAAACATCCCCTATATTTAAACCGTCACTACTAAATAGCGGAACTTCGAATAGTGGACGTCTTTTTGGGAGYAAACTACACGTTTTGTAAATCAAACTCTATCAATAACGGACATCTTCCAATAAGGGACAAAATCCAGCAATTGAGTTCCCAGTATTTTAAGGTTTCACTATATTTAAAATTATCCATACTAATAAATGCAGTACAAATTTAAATTAAAAATGTAAATTATGACAGGATAATTTAAAAATATATTAAGAGGATGTCAGCACACTGTTTGTTTTCACTTTCTGGCTCACGCACAAGGCACAACATAGCCAAAATGCATTTATGCAAAATCATTTGTTTAATCTTAAAGTAAAATTACTCATTAAAAAATCAATAGACTATAATACTTTTTAGGGAATGACAAACAAGTTATTTTTGAAAATTGAATCCAAAGTTAAACAATAACAAAATTAAAAACCAATATGAYATACCCTCAAAAATGTTATCTTCTATAATTTTTGTAATAGGTATATTTTACTCTAAGATTGCTTAAAAATCATGAAAAAACTATTTCAGGTGAAATCGTCTAATCTATGTTACACGTAAGTCTAACAGAGGAAACAAAAATTGCGCTAACATTGTCTTAAATATTAAGTAATAGACTTTTATAAAATAATATGATATCCATGTGTTTTTTATTTATTATACAGTAAAATTTAAAGTAGTTAAAAGAYTATGATTTTCAAATAATTTTGCTTTGATGTAGTTATGTACACAAAACGGGTCACATCCACTTAAAAATTTTAAAAGTTAAAACATATACTAGGTGTCTAGGTGTATACCTATACTAATTAATACAAAATTTTCCCCAGTTAATTTTTACACGTCCAAACATAAGAACAATACAAATCACTGTTAGATAGGTATAATTGTTTTTAAGGATATAGTATTCGTAACACTATATTATATTTTATTATACATAAATTGCAGTCAATGCTATTTACGAAAGTTTCATAAATGCTACACAATATTAAATAAAGTAAAAATAAAACTGATCTTTATGATATTTTATTGAACTTAACTATAATAAATAATAATACTAACATTCTAGCTGCCTTCATAACCTAAAGTTACAAAACTTAGGATTATGTTTCTATATTTTTGTTTTTCATAATACTACAACGTCTTGTAAATATTATATTATGAAGCAGGTATAATAGTTAAAGTATGTTACACGTTATTTTATGTATATTTACCTGAGAAATGCCAGGAAATAAAAATTAAGATGATAAAATTATTTTTTCAATTACATAAAATCTCGTTTTACATTAATGCCCAATATTGATATAAGCAATTATAAATAATTAATTATGTATTTTAGCCTCAAATCAATTCTATATTATAACATTTTACATTACAATTTACCAATTGTGCTTAAAATGACCATTTGATATACCAATTGCGCTCTATCTTTTWTGGTTCGATAGACTAATTGCGCTCAGTTGTTTTCAGGGTTTATAATATTATTCTACATTAAACCAAGAATATAAAAATACTTTATAAAAATATGTATTATAAATAGATTTTTT